CCTCCTGGTAAACAGACTAAGGATTTTTATTAGGAGTAAAGTCTTTATCTGAAGAATGCTCTTGGCAGAATGTCCCCTTGTTAAGGAAGTTTACAGTAAACAAATCAGAATCCAAGGATTTCTAAGGCAGGGCACACTGGAGAGTATTATGTAACCTACAGGACCTTGGGGTACAGAATGGGAAAGTTTCAAATTCTAAATGCTCTCTGCTATGAGGTAATAACTAAACTTCCGATTTAGAGATCTTATCTACCCGGGGCCAGAAAGTCCATGTCTGATGTAAAAAGGAAGGACCTGTGGAATCAGAGTCCCATATCTCTACTTGCTTCACCTGAGCTTGAAACTATCAAAAAGTGGATTCTAGGTAGTATCTCTAACATGTGAGCTTGATTCAATAACAGAATTCTTTTTTTAAAAAGATTTACGTATTTACTTATTTTTAGACGGAGGGGAAGGGAGGGCGAAAGACAGGGAGACAAACCTCAACCTGTGGTTGCTTCTCACACACCACCACTGGGGACGTGCACTGCAATAGGCATGTGCCCTGACTGGGACTCAAACCAGCGACCGCTTAGTTCACAGGCCGGTGCTCAATACAGAGTCACACCAGCCAGGGCTGATATATAAATCTCTGGGTTAGCTTACAAATAAAAAGATGAAACTCAAAAGTAATTATAACCTTAGATTAACAGTATTACTGATATTATGACTTTAGTAGTATAACTGAATCAAATGTTAATTCAACACAATTGATACAGTATACTTATGAGATAAATGAGGCATGTTTTACCAATATGGCGAACTTCTTTTTAAGTACTTGTATGAAAAAGGAACTAACAAAATCATGGTATATAAAATTACAGAGAAAAACTCAACAGTTTTTTTAAAAGCATATAAAACCAGAAATATCACAAAACTGTAATACATGATATACAAGAGGGGACTCAAAAAAACACCAAGAATTTATTTATAAAAAGTTGTTTATTTAGTTTAATGTGTTTAAACTTCAGTCACCTACAAAGTACTGTCCATCTGATGCTTGAGATGGAGATGTTTATTGAGATTTTTTTTTTCTACTGCTCAAAAGTTTTTGAACTTGATTTTCATGTTTTTTAGTGCTTCTGGCAGTTTTTGTTTTACTTCTTCCACACCGGCAGAACATTTTTCTTTTAGAACTTTTTTCATCCACGGAAACAAACAAACAAACAAATCATTTGGATCAAGATCAGGTGATTAGGGAGGGTAGGGCACAGGGTCATGCCATTTTTGGTAAAAAATTGAACACTCAGCACAGTGTGAGCAGGTGTGCTCCTAAATCACCCATCATGAAATGGGCAAATGCACTGAAAGTCTTCAAAAAAAATTCACTTAAGCTGAATGCAGCCTCTCACAACAATGCCAGCTGGTACACTGACACAGATGGCTTCCCAGAACACTCACTCAGCGGGGGAAGCCTGTTCTACAAGGGGCCAGCCTTTCAGAAGATAATTCCGGTTTTTCGGGGGTTCCCCCTCTTATATGGTAAGCCTATAATCCAATGGGTGTGCAGCCTAGAACCCTTCTAAAGAAGTCCACTTAAGTGAGATTGTGCCCATTTTACAGAGTTGTGGTGAAATGAAATTCAAAAGATTTGATATAGTTATTATGTTATTTTGATGATGTAATATTTTACCTAATTTTATACAACACCTCCACACCACTTCTCCTATTTCTGATCCATCAATAACCACTTAAAAGAGGCCAGGAAGGAGCACGAGATAAAACGATCCTAACAGGTGATGAAAGCGTAAAGGATGCTTTTAATAATAAAGACTTGAGAATGTATACTGGAAAAGAATAAAACAAAAGCAAAGTTTTAAAATAAACGAGCAGAAGGCAGACCAAGGTCTCACAGAATAATATTCACGTTCTCACTGTATAGGGACACTCAGTAGAGGGAAAAGCAGTGGCCTCAGAGGGAAGGAAGTTAACAGAAAATAGGGAATTAACTGGGTATATGTATTTAGCTACGAGGCATTAAAGAATCTGAAAACATGCTGCACACCTCCTTTGGGCCTTTTTTTCACAGAGGACACATATTGTGTTTATTATATTACCTCACCCAATCTCTAGGAGAGTAGAGATATAGTTCAGAAGTTCTATAGTTCAGAAGTTCTGGTTGTACTGAAGCAGTAAAGTAAAATGGCCAAGGCCATCAGCTTTATAATAAGTTATGAAGCCTAAGAACTATTTGACCATGGGTAAGTTGCTTAACTTCTCTAAGCACTGGTTTCCTACTCTGTAAGACAGAAATAGTATCTACCTCATGAGGGAGTGAATATGAAACTCAGGATAAATAAGGCACCTTTTACCTTACGGCAAATTTCTTTTTAAGCCCTCATACAAAAATACTAATAAATTAAAAAAAAAAGGCACATAGCAAATACTCAGAAAAGCTAGTTATATTACCTTTATTACTGAGGAAGAGATTTCTTGTATATTTAGATTAATTTCACTTGTCTGCCTTAATTTTACTATCTCCTTCTCCAGCTAAATAACTTAGGGATTTGTAAAAGCTGATGAAATATTTTAATTTCCAAAGAAAAAGGAACTGTTTCAGAAGCCAGAATTTATACTAGTATCAGAGTTCAAAGTAGGAGTACTATTAGAAAAGGCACCAGAGTTGGTATTCATATATTACAGTCTATAAAATTAGAACCCATGATTTTATAGTATCATAAAGATCAGCGCCCCCCCTCTTTTCTTGACCAGACAAAAACTCCCATTTCTAAAAATATCTCAGGTTTTTTCCTTAAGGAAGTCATCTTGCAACAAAATACCCTATGATCATAGAAAGCAAGTATAGGACAGTATGTCATGAACAAGACTATAAAAATGTAGTGGTATATGAGCCAAGGAAAAAATTCATCTGGAGAAATGAATAAGTACAGGTTTTTCTTCAAATTTAATTGGGACTGTGAGTTTTCTGTTCTGTGACTATTTCTTTGATACTCCCAGGGACATGATCAACAGTTCTTTAAGAAATTACAAATGACCTTTCACTTTAAAAAAATGATCTATGTATTTGATTATTTTACAAAAGTAGACCAATTTCATAAAAGAATCATAAACAAGGATTAAAATGTGACATGTAAGGAAAGCACACTTAGTCTTACTCTTTTTTTCTGGTTTTTATATTTAAATTTAATCCAGCTTTTAAACAGCATTATAAAAAAAGATAAATTCACAGCATCCAGTTCATACCATCTTAACCACTGCCATGAATTCAAGGAATATATATACATAATATATATAAATAAAATTTTATGAATTCTAGGATTATATATGCTATGCATTTCAGCTTTCTATGAGGCAACAATTCCACTGTGGTCTTATATAATCACACACAAACAAAAAAACACTATAGATGTGACACAGTAATCTTGTAAACCTATGAACTTTATCACTGAGTTCAATTTGTTCTTGCTGGTCAGGTTTAAGAGTAAAAGGAAATAAGTTTCACATACAGATCAAATAGGACAATTTTCTCTAACTTTAAATGAAATCCATTATTAAGAGCTACAAAAGGGAAGTATTCTAAAAATTAATGAGTTTGTTTTCATAGTCTTCATACAGTGCACACAGGCCTATTATATATAATGTATCCTTTCCATAGAAAAATAAAATCAGCTGTTATATAGTTGCTCAAAGCCTCTGAATAATTTAGGACTAGAAAAATGACTATTCAGAAGAAATTACAGGGAAAAATTTACATAAAGAATGTAATAATTTAGTAAGAACCATGGTTAAGAGAAAGTGAAAGACACAAAGAGATATGCAGTAACTTCCTATCTTGAGTTATCCTCCAAACAAAAATCTCTGAAGATTTCGTTTCTCATAGGAGTTTCATGAGGAAAAAAAGGTATATGAAAAAGCCTAAATGATACGTGATCCAAAGTGACACAATGTCAATTAGGAGGCAAATATAGACTGTTTTGACTGAATGGGGGAATAAAGGGAGATTAAAACTTTAGAAAAGATACATTAAATGGAGTTCATAAATTTTGCACTCCTGTGATAAAAATAACCCCACAAAAAAGTAAATACATAAAAACACCTCACACCAAAGAAAAACCATGCCCTACATCTGTTTCTACTCAGATTAACTGTAGTAAATAACTTTGACCTATAAAAGATTTTACCGTCCCTTCAAAAGGAAATAATAGTGACAGGCTTTGATAATGTAACTCAATTAAAATATTTTAAGAGAATTCAATCATTCTTTTATCTATCTCAAAACTTAGAAGCTACATCAAAATATAATAGTCAAACATACATGCAAAATGACCCTGCAATTAAGATAATTGCTAGTACCAAATGTTGTTTTTAAGTTCTGCCATAAAACAGTCTCCCAGACATTTAATAGTATGTCATTTGGTAAATGAAAGTTTCCACAAAGTAAGAGCAGTGAGAAGACCTAAAAATTATGCTAGTGAAGAGTCTGGCTGAAAGAAATAAAGATATGGATCATTTTGATCCAACACTAATTTTATTTCAAGTTACTACAGAGCTGAATAAAATGCTGACACCACCACACAAAAATTTATTGAGTTGGCAAAAGGCAAAGCATGATGTCAGCCACCATGCAATATCCCTGTCCACATTACCGAATAGCATGGACACTAATTCTTAAACTTAGACTGCATGCCTAAAGTTACAGTAAAAATAAAAGCCTAAGGCATGAGGCACTATTAAACATAGATGAGTTTAGTTTGGCATAGTGTTGACTCAAATTAGTCTAGCACTTTAACAAATTCAGTTAAAAAAAAAAAAAGAAAGAAATGCAAGCTTAAACATATTACAGTGTTCTAAACGTGCTACATTCTTCACCAAACAGACCCATAAAATTAGTCTTAGTCAACTTGCAGTAATTCTCAAAAAGTAACACAACACACACAGAAAATGTAGGCTGAGATAAAACACAGAAACACAGGTATGTACACATCCACACAAATCCTTACCTTCATGGCATGAATTTCTTCAAGTAATCGTTGTGCCCGTCTTTGGTTTTTTAACAGTGCATCTTCGGTACCCCTGCAAAAAACACATTACAGTATGTAGCCAGATAAAGCATTTATTATAAACTCATATCATAATGAAAAACCTTTTAATTTCTTTTAGAAAGGCATAATAAATCTCTAAATGACAAGCAAAGTCATTCTGCATTGCCCTTCCCCCTTCCAACACATACCCCAGTTCTATCAACGAACCCAAGTTTTTGGCAAATTAAGCTCTATCCTGGCATAATATTATTACCACTGATAGCTTGCCTTCTGATTCCTTAATGGGAAGGCTAAATAATAGTTTTTAATTAATCATTTAATAACACATTGTATTTAACATAAGCTCCATAAACTACAATTAAAGGCTGGATATAATTTTATTAAATGAAAAAATTTGTTCTCTGAAATCAGAAAACATAAAGAGAGGAAGGTCATCTTCTGAAACATCTATGAAAGGAAGCACAAGAAATTAATCAGGAACAAAGTACATCTGAAAACTTTGTAAGTTCATACTTAAAGTTTAAGGACTATAAACGACATACTTTTTCCTCTAATACCAGTGTCACTGAAAATACAAAATACTATTTTTTCAAAATATTAGATGGAACACAATGCTTTGATAAACACTTCCACAAGGTATTGAAGATTTCAAAGTAATTAGTAATTCAAGAAATAAAATGATTTAAAATCTTTGTAAGTGATTCACGGTATTACTAGATTTGCTAAACTATAACATCTTAAAGTAAGTTCTAATAACATAAAACACATGCATAATCCCAAAGGTTCTTCAGTCTGAAAAAGCCAAAAAGAGACTTCTGAAAAAACAGCAAAAGAATTCATGATGTATTTTAAGCGAATATGGTCCAAACCATGTAAGGATATGCTGACACAGCGCATTTTATCTCATTCAGGTCCTCTCTAAATATTTTAAAAAAGTGCTGTATGAGTAAGATATTTAATTATTCCTCTATGTTCCACCCTCAAATTTTGTAAATACTGAATAAAAACAACTTTTGACATTTTATTAGTCATAGGGCCATTACTTTAAATGACTAACTTTTTTGACTTGAGTCTGCCAACACTCCTGACAAGTTTTCGGATAACCAAAACTCGGATTCTCTTCACTTCTTTTCTCATCTTCACAACCTTTAAAGAATAAAGCCAAAATTAATTCAAGAAGAAACATACTTTAATTTTAGTCTAATATTATAGACTAAGTCTGCCAGTTTAACCACATTTCTATTTAACTATATTCATAGTTTGATGAAATCACACTTCTTCCACAAACACTGAAGGAATAAAGGAATACATCAGCATTTTTAAAATGTGTCTGAGGACTTAAGAGAAACAAGTTATCTTAAAAAAAAAGGCACAGCATTCTCAGTGATTAGTATTTTAATATTATACTTATTACATCTTGTTAGGCTTGGAAAATAATAAACTAAGATCAGAGATCATATTAATCTTTCTATCCCTGGGCTTAAAGCAGAGCTTCACCCATGATGGTGGAAATTTAATTTACTGAATGAGTGTATTAACAAAAGCAAATGCATAAAAGTGGTATTTACTTATTAATAGAATACTCCTTCCATGTTTTTTATCAATAAATTACTTGAGGCATAACTTTAAAAAAAAAGCCAAACCACAGGGGCACATCGTGTGTGCACATGGAGATACATGCTTGAAATCATTCCATTCGAGAATATTAAATTCTAAGAACAAAAATATAAATAAATAGGCCACGAGATGACAATATTCTAATGATAAAGAACTACATGTTATAATAGTACTCAGTACAATGGGATGCTATCATTTTGAGTTCATGTTTTGTCTATCATTATTAGGAGCCACCCATCTTGTTAATTCCTCCTGTAAAGTCTTTTTTCCCCCTCCTCCACTTTAGGGACTATATAAAATTTAGTTTAGATACAATCTTTCCTGTGAAACCTTCAATGATTTCTTCAGTCAGAGAATACTGCTCCATCCTTGGGATTCCCAATATATTTTATAGTTAGAATCTATTTCACTCACTGTCATTAATCACTGTGGCTGTCTTTTTCTGTGGTTTATGAGCTCCTAGAGGACAGGGGACTTGCAATATTTCCATAGTGTTTTCTGTGCCTTGCAAGAGTGTCTGGCATACACAATCCTGCAAATTCTTTTTGCCAAAGTAACAATAACAAGATCATCCTATTTCTAAGGCTCTTGCATTTGGCTGTACCTTCTCTTACCTTTCTTTCTTTCTTTTTTTGGGGGGGGGATTTTATTTTTTTTTTAATTAATTTATTTACTTTTTAAATACATTTGTCTTACCTTTCATGAGTATCATTCACCCCTCTATTCCACTGAAAATACTGATAATCAAGTTACAGTTTCCCTCCACCCTAAGTTTTGCTATCATTCTTGGTGGCACAGATGCCCACTTGATAACCCACTCCAATGTATCCTCACTTCCCGACTTCCTCTTTTCTAGTGAACTAATCCATTTCATCTCAGTCAGGCACTTACATGGTCACACTGTAGTCCTTATCATCACATAACTATTCCATTTCTAAAATGATCAGTTAAATATTCCACTAGATTACAACTTCTATCAGCTCCACCCACCACAGTCATCTCTGACTTCACTGGGATCAACAATTCACTGACCCCACTACTTTGTCTTAAATAGTCTTTTGCTTTTAATTTTCCTCCTCTTACTCGGTTTAGGTACCTGATCAACATTTGTCAATATCTTTAACAATCCAATATTTAGCAATCCCTCTAATTCATCCTGAATGAAAATAACATTCTTAGTTCTTTATCACAGCATCCCAATAGCCAAATAGTCAATTCATGCTATCCACTATAAATTCATCATAACTAACCTCAAATGGGCTCCTACACTTCCTAGCAATCCTACATTTTTTTTTTGTCAATCTACTCTACAATAACTATTTTAAACCTTTGGCTTCTTAAAAATATCTAATATTCCTCTTGATCTCTTTTAATTTCATTGAGAAGATAAACATCAGATGGAAACCACCATTTTTCTAGTACCATTAATACCAATTTACTTGCATCACCCGCCTTCTTCTACTAATAAAGTTGCAATACAAGTAACAATCCTACATGTATCTGACATTAATCTTTTAACTGTTTTGGATCAATCCTTTCTGCCACCCTAGAACCCTTACTATACATTATCCCTTTACCCTAGCATTGCCAATCTCTTAAATGAATGCTTCTCATTGATTTTATTATACTTGAGTCATTTTCATTAAGGACAAAACGAACAAAACATCCTCCCTGCAAAGTCCACCAGGAGCACCCTCTGTCTTCACCTGCCACAGAGCCCTGCTTTTAGAGATGTTCAAACTCACTATATTCATTTTTACATGCCACATAATTTCACTTTGTGGAATTAGTTTGTGGTGTGCAAGACACCTATGATTTCTAAACATCCCTGAATCTGAATTTTTCAGACTTCATTTTACTTGAAATGTCAGTGGCACTGTTGACCACTCCCTGCTTAAAACACTTGTTCTTTGGTTTCCATGACACATGGCAGAATACTCTCCTGGTTTTCCTTCTGCCTCTCTAACCGCTCCATTATGCTCTTCTCTGAAGGGCTCATCCACATGTAATCAGCCATGAAATGTTAGAGTTCAAAGGACAGTCCTAGGCCAGCTCTACTTCCTAGCCTTAAGTGATCACATTTCTGTACACTGTTTCAATCTGCCACCTAAACAAAGATGAGTCAAAAATTTCTACCTTCAGCTGAGATCTTTCAGTTCCACAGCCAAATATGCAACTGCCCACTTGAGAGTTCCTTTGCTTAGAGTCACTCCCATGTCACATTTGAACCCATGTCCTTCACCTCCAACTGGATCCCTTTTTTGGTATTTCATGTTTCATGGAATGGAATGATTTTCAGTTACAAACTTAAGGCTCATTATAAACACTTCTCATTTCTAAATCCCTCACAATAAATCTATTACCACTTAAGAGTGCTTACAGAACTTATCATAAACATTATTTTAATACTTTACTTTTAATCTGATTATATTACATGTGTCTTTCTTCCAGTAGGTTATACATTCAATGAAGGTCAAGTATCTTGTTTTACTCAACACTGTATCTTAACACCTGACATAGTGGACAACATACAGTTAAGTGTGTTAAATAAACATCTGCTAAATAGATGACCAGAACAGTAGCAATATTCACTTGTTCATTCACTGGTTGTTTTTTTTAAAAGGTTTCTTTGATTTTTTTCATTAGAGACAGAGGGGAAGGGAGGGAGAGAGAGATGTCCATCAGCTTCCAGCATGTGACTGGGAATTGAACTGGCAACCTAGACATGTGACCTGACCTGGAATCAAATCAGCAACCATTGGGTTATGAGATGATGCTCCAACCAACTGAGCCAGCCAGGCAGGGCGTTCAGTCAGTTTCAAATTAATATTATAGTAACAGAATAATCAGATTTCTTTTCCACTAAATATGTTAATCATGTTGGAATCTGTTTCAAAGTTAGAGTTATTTTGAAAAAAATGAATCTTCCATAAATGAAAAGGCACTTAGTGTAGGTTTAAGTGGAAAAAAAAAAAAGAACTGCTACATTTCGTAAGCAGCATGAGGTTTATGTTTTTTGAAAGTCATTCATAAAATAAATAACAAGTGATAAATTTTTCTTAAAATATATTAACAAATGTTTCTAACTGCTGTAGCATGCAGGTGCATGAGATTATACACCATTTGCTTAACCACTGTTAACCAAACTTAACTAATAAGCAGTGGGCAGAGTTGGTCCTCGGTTACATTCCAATCATGGGAAAGCTAGATTCCAATTTTAAAATTCCAATTTAAGAATTACTATGTTTGTCATTACTGCATAAGGGAATCTAAAAGCAAAGGGAATGCTTCACGTACTTACTTTCATGCCAATGTCAAAAAATGCTTTTCTAGGTTATTAACTTTCTCAGTATTTGTGTACAAGCAGGAGAAAAATTTAGTAAGTGTAGTATATTTAAAAAATAAGTATGTTCACTGTGTAAAAATTGAATTATACTTTTATTTTTCTCACAACTGCTTATCCCAAGCTTTCTTCAAGTGTTTATATTTATTTTTGCAAAACTGACAAACAGCTACCAATAGCCTTTGAACTAGGACTAAAAGGGCTGGTGAATTATGATGCTGGTTGACAGATGACCCAGAAGTCAACAAATAGAGGACTAAAACTACTAATACCATCAGAAAACCATAAAATACACTTTGGTGAATTGTCCAATCAAAAGCAAACAGAACTACCATTGTTAGAAATAGAATAAGAGTATGGTATTTGGGAGGGACAGAAGGATAGAAATGTGAGCAGAGACATAATAATGGAAAGCAAATGTGCTGACAGAGAAGTGGAAGAAAGGCATTTGGAGATAGAAATTAAAGAACAAATTGGAAGATCACGATCACCAGATTGAGAAGCCTAAGCTAAGGGCTTCCCAGTAGCAAAGGAATGCATTTAATATAATCTCCAAGAGCAGAGGAAAGAGTTCACACACACACACACGCCCCCACCCACCACACTCTTAAGTGAACCTAGACATGCAGATACTCTCAGTTAATCTGGTAAAATCTGAACATAGTAATGTAACACGAATCTCCCTTTGGATAGACAGTACAGAAATATGACCTAAACTAAGAGGAAAGCTAATACACCTACTTGGAAAAAGACCATGTAAGCATATAGGGAAGAGACAACATAAACACAAGAAAGGGAACCACAACAGCAAAAGCTGGCAGGTCCAACTCTAGGAGATTCCAAATTGTACTAGAATAACTCAATTATAGGGATAGATGTATCACAGCCCAACACTGCATCATGTAATTAAAACCTTTTCTGTGGTTCTATATTCCAAGCAGACAATGTAGATCAGTAGACCGGGGGGAGGGGGGGGACGACTTACAATGTGAGCATCACTGTCTATGTTAGATATATTTCTTAATAAACAGGCTTTCTCCTTAACATAGTCTCATAAGCTTATGGTTAATGTGAATTTGCTTTTGAGAGAATAAGCTATACTTTTGGGATGATAATGATAGCAAGTTTCTGATCTACAAAGCTGATAGTAAACTTTGGTTGACAAAGTAAATACTACTTTGAAGTG